AGATGGTGCAAGCAATCATTTAAGTTTCCTTAATTTCTTTGAAGAATCTGCAAATGTATTTCTTCCCGATGGAAGACCACCTTACACGTACGGTGACCATGTGATAATGGACAACGCAGCAATTCATCATTATCGAGCGGGCCAAGCACTGGGAGAATGGTTGGACGACATAGGATGTGTTCTTTTGTATTTACCGACATATTCGCCAGAATTTAACCCAGCTGAAAACGTATTTAATAAGCTGAAAACAATTCTAAGGCGATTTGAGTACAGAGAACTGTTGCGGGACAGTCTTCATGTGGCTGTACACCAAGCTCTACAAGAAATTGATATGAATGATATGAGAGGATTTTTTAAGTTCACTGGATACATTAATGTTTAACTGTTTAAAGCCTGTTTCAAACGTCACTCTTCTCATGTGTCGAATGCATTAGAAACAACATTAATAGATGATGCATTTCAGCTGATGTTTGAAACACGCCTTACTCATATGCTTAAGTAATTAGTGCATGTTCAGAAACTTTTGTATACACTAGATCGAGGGAATATTTTATGTAGGCTAAGCCTGTCCATAGGAATTCCTTTGATTGTCTATGGCCTGTCTGTAGTGTCTGAACATGGTAGTTCAGACAATATAAATGTTGCATGTAGAACACGTATCATAGAACATTTTCGTGTGCATATCCGATAATGGCAATGATTGCAAACTTTGTTCAATTCCTATTTTAATGTGGTAATTCTCTTCCTCCAAAGTAGCGGGGAAATATTGCCCTGATGCTGTAGAAGGAATTACTTGACTGCTAGTAGAATAAGTGCTGTTCGGAAGTACGCCTTTCCCTGGAAATTTTATTCCTTTCTGTTCCCAAAGCTTGACCACTGGATTTACATGTTCACGTTGTGTTGACTGTTCGCTCACAGTTTCATTAAAAACATCAAATCCTGCTTCATACTTGGTTAGTAAGTTCTGAATTTCTCCAATATCTGGAACTTTTCCCTTACACACTCTTTCAAGCTTTCGAATATCTGTATTCACGACTAGCCAGTTCGGTACGTTGTCTCCAGCGATAGTTTTCCCAAGGTATTTATCAGGATTGCTGTTAATTAGATTTGCTTGCACTTTGGCAGCAAATGTGTTGAGAGCTGAGGCGTAGGATTCTTTCTTGGAAGTAAGATCGTTTTCTAGTTGCTTTAATTTCCCATTTAAAACTTTCAACTCAGACTGTATTTGTTTAATATATTTCTCCTCATCTGGGTGCCGTTTGATTTCTTTACATATTGTCGCAGAAGAACAAGGAGGGAATGAACAAATAGATTTATTATGTCCCGCTGAATGGCAAACTGAGCATAAAGACGCCTTCTTGCCTTCCACGGTGGCGCCAGTTAGTGGTTTACAGCTATTTTGAAGTTCAGATAATTCACGTTGCTTCTTTGCGACATTTTGTTCTACATTGTCCTTGTCTTTCGAAAGTTTATCAAAGAACTTATCAGCGGGAGACCGGTATATTTTATCAGCTGTCTCAGTGGTGGTATTATCAAACTCAAGGCGTTTCGCGGCTGACAGAGATCTTGACTTTTTAGCCATGTGTACTAATACAGCGTCCGCGGATTTTGGAGAGGGAGACGGAGAAACTCGAGAACGCTTTTGTGAAATGCCGTGCTTTGCGCCATCTTGTGGTGTGTTAGCTAACTCATTCACTTTAAGTTGAATAATTTTTAGGTTTTCGCGAGTTGAGTTTCTTGCCGTTTCGACCATATCAATAAATGAATCAAGATCTCCGATTGGAAGGTCAACCCAGTCCTCTCTGTCATCCAAATACTTTAATGCAACTTCTTTGCCACAAAGACTCGGAACTCTTTCCAAAATTCTTTGCATAAGTGAGTGAAAATCTAACGTTTTCATCTCAATTGAGTTCAAAAACATCTTAACACACCTATCTCCACCGAGTTTCACTTTAAATTCATATCTATCCATAGTTATTATATTTATAAAGCTGATCTGTTAAATTTGTTCTGATATTCGAGTCGATTCCGAGTCAGACAACAACAACTCGAAGAAAGAGGGTGTGTCAATTAAAGAAAGTGGGTGTGGTCGCAATACAAAAATTTGGACCCATTCCACAGTTCGGTGACTTTCGTAATAAATGGCTGCAATAAATGCCACAGAAAAACAAGGGCAAATAATGTTAGCCAATCAGCGCGTTTGTTTACATTTTGCGTTCTTGACCAATCAGAATGCCTGAAATTCGAAACATGTAAACAAAAGGAGTGAGAAAATAACACCTTGTTCTACGCCCTCGGTGACATTCGATATTAAACTTTTTTCGCCAAAACTGACAAATTCTGCTAAAGCATGCTTGCTTCTTTAATTTCCTCGGGGGGATTTTTAAAATTCGATCTAGAACGCGAAATATTTATGTTTGAATAACAGTGTTTCGACGCGCGTAAAATAGCAGACTCTCACTTGCACTATCTTTACACACACATAAAAAATTGGTAGATTTGGCAGTTTAAACTTATTTTCCCCATACCACAGTTGACATGTTTTTAAATATTACCTATCTGATCTCATCGATCTCATTTCGCATCGGAAATGCGTCACAACGATCCAGGACTGACAGGTACAATATCGCATGACTCATTACTGTACATTAAAAGTACCCGGTTGGCGAAATGGCGATTGTCTGACCACAGTTAATAGCTGACAGACCTTCGCGAAGGGCTTAATATTTTTGCTAATAAACTGTTCACGAGGGTTTCGTTCTGTTCGTCTTCTGGTTCGTCGTCAATCGTCATCGGCTGCCTCACTTCTTGGTCGCTTTCGTCCTCTTCAAAGCAAGTCGCCGGAGCAAACAGCGTTAGTATTTGCTGTCTTTCCAAGAGCTTCAACGGTGCTTTACAAACTGAAACTGTCTGTACCAGTGTGGGTAGTACCAATGTGAAAATGCTGTGCTGAGTGGTTATATTACTACCTTAAAATATAAGCAGAAACTCGACGTTTCGAGCGAAGGCCCTTCGTCAAGAGTTAGTAGCCAGCTGGGCTATCGCTGATGTTGGGCACTGGGCTATGGGCTAAACATTAGTACTCTTACACTGGGCACTGGGCAGTACACTGGGCACTGGGCTATCGCTGATGTTGGGCAGGATGCATTTGATGTGGAACGAAGGTCCACAACCACGGAAAACGTTCCAAGTGGATTAACCTTTTTGCAGGCAGGCAAATCGCAAATCGATGGAAATTTTAAAGGAAGATTTATATTTTATATTTACAGATCTTGATACATTTATAGTCAGTACGTCCTTGGAAATTGTTCAAAAATATGAGTGTGTACCAAAGTTAAAATATTACTCATAATCTCTAGAACATGTTTGAATGTTTTGAATCACTGCAGTTTAGAATTAGCAGTCCTTTAACTCTTTTAAAGACAACAGAACTGGCAGCCATGGCACCCCATAACTATTTAGTGTACAATACTAGTCAATGTAATTAATTACTACCTCCCCCAACCCAGAAGTAGGCAGTTTTTACTTCTCAGCACTGTCACTATCTGTAAATATCTGTGTGTAAATATCTGGTTTTGTCTCAGTGACCCTGCTTTGCCCCACACTTTGGGATTTGAGCAGGCAGGGATTTATATTGTCTGGTATTGGTACATAGTTTACCATAATCACAGGATATTATTGAAAGATTTCCCTACCAATTTACTGCCTTAAAAGCATTATACTATTTGCTCTGTGTGTGTGTTACTTTAAGTGTACTCTGGTTCCAGAGGCTCTTTGTGAGGCGAAAGAAACAAGATGGGAGAACGGAGAGCCTCTGGTCACATCAGGGCCGTATCACCAGGGGGCAGTAAGGCTTATATGTTGAAAAAAGTTCCAAATATCCAAAGAATAATTAATAATGATATTCTAAAAATTGTAAATATAGTTTTCTTTAGGAGGGCAGTTTCCCCCTCCTGCTGCCCCCTCCTGCCACCCCCTCCTGCCGCCCCCTCCCCTGTGCTGTGTACAGCCCAGGGTCACTGTCCATTGCGAATCCCACTTCCACACTTGATTAGGTTCAGCATTTCAATTTCGCATGTGATTGCACATTTGTAAAAATATGCCAAACTGGCTTGGGAAATAAACATTGCTGTAAGCTAATTATAGCCTGTATTAAAATATTCTGTTAAACTCAACCAAGAATGTATTACATGTCCTCCAAAACTGATTAATGTTGATATGTTTATCTCCTGAGAAATTTAATACCTTTTCACCTGCGGGACTATTAATATTCATGCTTGGTTGAGTTTACTATAATAGCTTGGGGCTTTTTAATTGGGGCTTCCGTGGCCAAGTGGTTAGCGCACTTGCCTGTCACCTCTGAGGCCGCAGGTTCAAGTCAGTGAGAACTTTCTCAATGCGACTCAAACCCAGTCCTCATGTGAAAAGAATAAACCGCAACGCTCTGCCGAACGTCACAGGTTTTCCCCGGGTACTCCAGTTTCCTCCCACATGGAAAGTTGACAGGGTGGGTTGGGAAAAAGGGCTCACAGTAATTGGCATATGCTGTTGTGGTGACCCGGCCCTAGTTGGCAAAGCTAAACAGATAGATAGCTATAATTAGCTCACAGTAGTGTTTATTTGCCAAACAGGTAATTGACATATTTTTACAAATGGCCAATCACATGCGAGATTCAAATTCTGAACCTACAGTATTCAAGTGTGGAAGTGGGATTTGCAATTGATATGATCAGAGGCTTTCCATTCTCACCTCTTGTTTCTTTTACCTTGCAAAGAACCAGGGTACACTTAAAAGTAACACACAGGCAGACCAAGTGCTGCAATTCAACTAAGGGCCTGTTTATATGCAGGAAGCCGGGCTGGCCTGCTTAGCGAGACAGGCAGGTGGGATGAATTTCTCTTGTGTTTATATGAGAAAATTTCATCCCGCTTGCTGGTTTTGACAGTTGTTAAAAATAGCTTGCGGCGGTATCTTTCATCCCAGCAACTGGGCTAGCCCGCTTGTGAGTGTTTATATGGAGAAATTTCCACCCCGGTAAGCGAGATCTCACCTCTTTTCAAGTGAGATCTCACCTCTTTTCAAGTGAGATCTCGGCAACCTGGCCAGCCCACTTGTCCATATAAACGCACAATAATTTTTACTATAAAAATAACTACACAGCGAGATCTCGCTTACCGGGCTGTCTCACTTAGCGGGCCAGCCCGGCTTCCATATAAACAGGACCTAAGTACCAGTCAATATAAGTCCCTGCTTGCTTGAATCTAGGAAGTGTGGGGTTCATGGGGCAAAGCAGGGCCACTGAGACAAAGCCAGACATTTATACAATCCAGCAATTTTGATTATGCAGTGCTGGGAAATAAAAACTGTCTACTTCTGGGTTG